GAGAAGGGGGGCAAAACTCTTTAGCCCCAGGCCTGCCGGAATAGCCAGGTTTTAAGGGCTTTGCGGAAGGCCTGGAGGGCGGTGAGGGTTCGAATCTCCACGGGGGAGCTCGTTCCAGAGGGTCGGAGCAGCCACAGAGAAGGCTCTCCTCCGGGTAGTCGCCAGTCGGCATTGGCCGGCGGATGGAATTCGGAGGAGGCCTAATCTGTAGGATCTGATCGGTCTATTGGAGGTAATTGGGCACCCATCCCACTCCCCTCCCCCCTCCGTGGCCCAATCCCTGCTTATCTGGAGGCCAAAACCCCCCATCGCCCACAAAATAATTATTCAGCGCCAGCATCTCCCCACGATTCTCCTTTTGTTAAAGTTGCCGGTTCTGCTTCAGAAAGCAGAGAGAGGGGAATGTATAGAACGATGCCGGGTTCTTGGTCTTTCTGGGCTGGTGATCGAAATCGCCCTCCGTGCAGTCTCCCTGCCCGGTCAGTTTCTCTCAACATTTCTGGGTGCTCTGCCTTCCGTTTCCCTGCAGAGTTGGGGGGGGCTTCTGCAGAAGGAAAGATGGGAGGAAGTTTGCAGCCACACCAAAGAATTAGAGCCACACCTTGATCCAGGCAAAGGTAGCGCCAGGCAGAAGTTCACCAGGTAAAGCCTTTGCCGGGCCAGTAAGGCTTAAAATCCCTGGTCCAGAGCATCCTCGTCAGGGGTGGGGTTCCAATGTTTTTACTACCTGTTTGCTCGTATGCGTGCATGCCTCCCACCGCCGCTACTACCTATTCACCTGAACCAAGCCGAACCGGGAACAACCCACCTCTGGTCCTCGTCTTACAAGTGTGACCGTTTCACACTTATGACCATTGCAGCAGCACCCCGCCCCGGGTCGTATGATTTACATTCAGACGCTCGATAACTGGTTCCTACTTACGACGGTCGCAGTATCCCGGGGTCACGTGATCCTCTTTTCTGACACTCTGACGAGCGAAGCCAGATTCGCTTAACGACCGTGTTGCTCATTTAACGACTGCAGGGATTCCCTTAGCGAAACGTGGCACCAAACGTCGTAGAACAGGGCCCAACTCAATTAACAAGCGAGTTTCCCGCTTGTTCTCACTTAGCAACATCCGCTGTGGTCGTAAACTGAGGACATCTTCCTCTTGCGGGCGGGTGTGCGTTCGAGGGCGTGCAAAGGATTCACTTCTTAGGGGTGCAAAGCTCCACCTTGCCTGGCGCAGCTTCTCCTCCCTCCTTGCCCTTCCTGCCCTGTTTCTCCTCTCCCCACGCCAAGGAGAGGCTGAGCAAGGACACCGGCCGCTGGGCCTGGGCCAGCTGGACTCATTCCCACCATCCGTCCGGGCCAAGAATTTATGTCCCGGCTCTTCGTAATCCGCCAAGATCCTGCGGTGTTTCTGCTGACGACTCTGACGGTTCGTCACCCAACTGGTTGGATCTCTCCTGTGGAAAGCGAAGCTTTGCCCCCCCCTCCCCCCACCAGTCCTTTGCCCAAGGAGCCAGTCCAGTGCGTGGCAAAGGCCGAGCGGTTCATGCCAGTCTCTGGGCATGGGTAGATTTCTCTGTGTCTCTTGCTGGCTGATAGATAGGCAGGCAGAGAGAGAGAGAGAGAGAGAGAGAGAGAGAGAGAGAGAGAGAGAGAGAGATACATTGATTGATTGATTGATTGATAGATTGATAGATTGATTGATTGATAGAGAAACAGACAGACAGATGATAAAGATGAAAGAGAGAGAGGATAGAGAGCTAGATACATTGATTAATTGATTGATTGATTGATTGATAGAGACAGACAGACAGACATGATAAAGAGGAGAGAGAGAGACATACATTGATAGATAGATAGATAGATAGATAGATAGATAGATAGATAGATAGATAGATAGATAGATAGATAGATAGA